GTCGTCGTCGTCGTAGTCGTAGTAGCCGCAGCAGCAGCAGCAGCAGCAGCAGCAGCAGCAGCAGCAGCAGGTGTTGTTGTTGTTGCTGTTGTTGTTGTTGGTGCACAAGTGCAGTAGTCCGAATCGGGGTCCATCGGAGCCCAATTGAATATCAGGTCCATTGGACCCGCGAAAACAGGGTAAAGGATCCACCGGACCCCGTTGCAAACCAGACCTGTAAAGTCGGAGTAGTCGTAGCAGAGGAAGAAGTGTTAGTGGCAGCGGTAGTGGAAATCTCTGTAATAGAAGTCGTCGTAGTTGTTGCCAGTAGCAGTTTCAGCACCAGTAGTAGTCAGTAGTCGCATGCAGGCGGAGACCGACCGCTTAGAAGCAGACAACTGACCCAAAAACCCAGCCTCGCGAGAACGATGGAAATCGCCCATCTCGCCTGCCATCCCATCGTTTGGAAACACACACAGCAAAGGATCCGGCATCCAAAGCCGAGCCCGTGGCCGTTGGCCAAAGTTCTCGAAGCAGGCTATCCTGGCGTGCAGGACAAACTGCCATCATGAGGGCACGAGGGATGTAAGGCCACGGCCAAGAGCAAGGACCGTGAGAGACTCAGGACCTGTCCAAGACACTGCGTGGGCACTAGGGGGCCCAGAGCACAGCGATGAAGCTTTCGAGGCGAGGACAGTCGTCGAATGCGGCCTGGGCGAAACAAAAAATCTGATGTCATCACATGGAAAACCCAACAATGAGAGAAGCAACAGGCAGCTTTTTTCATGTTGCCAGGGACGGCTCACATCAGCGACGTCGCTTTGGACCACCAGGACCATCACCTGAGCCCAAGCCATCTCCACGACGACGGCGACCACGTCCACCTTTGCCGCCCTGGTCCACCGTGTCGTCGCCCCGGTCCCAGATGTCTGGGCCGCCGCCGCTCCCTGTGCCGCCGCCGCCGCCCCGGTCCTCCTTCACATCCTCCTTCTTCACTTTCTCTTTCTCCTTCTTCTTTTCCCGGACCTCCGAGCGGCCCCGGCCCACATCCTTCTTCACCTTCTCTTTCTCCTTCTTCTTTTCCCGGACCTCCGAGCGGCCCCGGCCCTCCGAGCGGCCCCGGCCCTCTGGCTCCTTCGCCACCACAGCTGGAGCAGCTGGAGCCTTTGTCGCCGCCGCCACCTCCGCCGGAGCCTTTGTCGCCGCCACCACAGCTGGAGCCTTTGTCCTTGTCGCCGCCACCACAGCCGGAGCCTTTGTCGCCGCCGCTGAAGCCACCTCCGCCGCGGTGGACTCCAACAGCTGCTTGACCACATCCTCGGTCTCCTTCTTGCCATAGCCCTGAAGAGGCCCACGACCATCTTGGTCTCCTGACAGATTATGCTGGCGACGTTTTTTTTCTACATGGACCCTTTCAACTTTGGAAGCGGGCCTTCATCTGCAGCTCTGGCCACACTGCCCTTGGCCCCAGTGCCAGGCATCGGAAGCGGCCTCTTCTTCGGCGGAGGATCCTGGGTTAAGAACTAAGAACTCTGAGACGGCAAGCCAGCATGTGACGAACCTCAAACACATGAGACGTACATTGGCCAAGGCACTGGTATCTCGCACCCGGGGAACCAGTGCTGCATGATGATGATGGCCAGCATGCGCCTTTCGAAGATGGTCTCGGAACGAGCGGTGGCTTCCAGCGGCTC